CACCTTTTTTAATTGCCTCTCTATTGTAGAATAGTAATCATGCTTGCAATCTCTCTGGGCCTAATCCCTTTTCACTTTTCTAGTGATTCAAACTTCTCCAAGTGATTCTTAACACACAGACTTCATATGGTGTATACAATCATGTGTGCTACAAGACTGCATGTTAAACACAGAAAAAGTGATAAGAAGAATAGATAATAGACAATATAGAGATAATAATATTTATTGTACATAGAATAGTTGCTATAAATATATTGTTTGAAAAATCAAACTAAATTATTTCTAGTGGATATATGCCATGGGATATAAATATATTTACATTTTTTGTTAGGTAAATATAATGTATATTAATATGTTTTTTTTTACCACAGCAAAATAAACTCTAAGCTTCAGCTCAACATTTCCACAATGCTGCCGAATTGATATGTTTTGAATAGCCTTCTTTATGAACAGACCTACCGGTATATAGCAGGAGTTCAAATTACACGTAGCTGAATGAAGGGAGACCCCCCTCCACTTCTGCTCTGGAGATAATGGGGGGAATTCATATAGAGCATTGAAGACACTTTTTACAATTCTTTCAAGCCTCTACTGCTTGTGCCAGATTTATGAACCTGTCTGAAACAGGTACATTCATTTTTCAGAGGCTAGGACTGAGGTCAGACACTCGTTCTTCAGTGAGCTCCCTCCCCAGCCACTGCACCTTTCACACAAACAGACCTCCATGATTAAGCCCCATGGGCCTGGTGAAACACATCATGGGGGTGTGGCCTAAACAGAGCTGAGCTGAGGCTGCCAGTATCCCTGAACCCTCTGTTTTCATTCAACTTTGGGCCAGGGTCATTCTCTTCCCTTGTCTATTTCACAGACAGGCCAATGGCTGAGGAGTTTTGGAGTGGGGTGGACACAACTTGATAGGGAACTCACAGTGCACAACAGTGAGTGGATCCGTAGCTGCTATTTACTCCAATAACAGCTTTACCATCCATCCACTGGCACTTACTGCCAATCAAAAGTAAGGTGGACTTGAAGGGAAATTAGTCTCCTGGATCTCCATCAGATTTCGCCCACTCAACAGGTGCCGCGGCCATGGCGACTAGTTCTCGATCTGGTCTGCCTCCCCATGGCCCCACTTTTTCAGATATGGGCATTACTATATGTAGCGCCCTCTACCTTAGGTAGGGGTTTTTTGTGTTTTTAGAGGCTTACTAAAAGCCTTGGTATGAGTCAGCCTGGGAGTGAGTCAGCGACATCACTTCAGGTTAGGCTGAGAGACTCTACTGGTCAGGGCTTTTGGAGCCCTCCCACTCTTCTAGAAACTTCTGGCACTTTCTAGAAGAAGGGCAGAGGAGGAGAGGAGGCCTAGATTTGCATGATTGAGGGAACCTGGCCAATCCCCAGGCAGTAGGCCTAGCATGGTGGCTAGGTCAACTCTTAAATGTGTGAGAGACTGATCAGCAAGAGTTGGAGTCAGGTGGAAGTTGTGAGGCAGGAGCTGCTGGTGTGGAGTGTAGGAGTGGGCCCCAGAGGCGGAGGGGCCTGCCTACAGACTGAAGCTGGACAGAAGGACCTCCACTTTCCCACAGTCTACATAGGAGAGACAGACTGTCAGCAGCGAAGGATCCAGACCAGCATAAGGCACGAAGGCAGGTGCAACCCATTAAGCTACAGGAACGGGACAGTTTGAGTACTTCTACACCCACTGGGCCAAAGAAGGGAAAGGGCAATCAGGTGCAATACCCAACTAGTTCTCCCTGGGACCACTTCATTTGTAGATCTCGGAATCCCTTGCTCAGGGACACTCTCAAGACAGACAGGTGGAGGACGAGAGTTCATCTGGGGTCTGAGGAGGTTCACTAAGGCCCTTCACAGCAAGGAGCACATAGAAGGGCAACGCATGTAAAACAACAAAGAGAAAAATTCCCAGCTCAGCTTGCTAACCAGCTTGCAAACAAACTGAATTAAGTTGTCTAACGGTATGCGTTAAAAACAGGGGTTTAGTTAGCACACATTTGCAAATACATGCGAAAGATTCAGCAGTACAAAAAATGGCCATTGCCCCAGTCTATAACTGGCCTGCACAGCAAGGAGCACATGGAAGGACGGCACTCGTAAAACAACAAAAGAGAAAAATTCCCATCTCAGCTTGCCAGCCAGCTTACAAAGAAAATGAATCAACCTGTCTAACAGTATGTGTTAAAAACAGGTGTTTAGTTAGCACACATTTGCAAATACATGCGTAAGATACAGAGCCTCATCAGGGCATCCCAATGTCCTGTAGTTCATAACAAATTTTTAGAGCCCCCATAGTAGAGGCACATATATTGAATGGATAGACCAAGGGCAGGTGGACCTGAGGGAGCCCACCCTCCTTAAAGTTATAGGAGCGCACTGAAAACCCAGCATGTAGCACTGGGGCAGTGGCCATTTTTTGTACTGCTGAATTGTTGGTGGGGGGTGCACTGGACACCCTAGCTGCCATGGTGCTACAAGCTGGGTGTCTGGTGTGCTCCTGTACCTTTAAGAAGGGGTGGGCTCCCTCAGCTCCACCTGCCCTTGGCATATCCATTAAATACATGTGCCTCTACTGTGGAGGCTATAACTGGTGTGGTGGTGATCATGGACACTGACTGATGACAGTACGAAAAAATTTAAATTGATAATTTATTTTTACATTTTTTTTATTTTTTATTACATTTATTTCTCTTTTTTAAAGTTTTTTTTTCATATTACACTATGACCAAAGTAGTATAATGTTACTATAGTAACATTGTAGTACTTTGAGGAAGTGATCAGTATTTTTTTTTTTTTTACACAATTTGATTGCTTATAGCAAGAATTTCTTTGCTATAAGCAAGCATTTAACTGAATTAAATGGATTCATTCAGGTTTTCCTGTTGTGATTAGCTGTGATTGGCCATGGCTAATCACATGACACAGATGGGCTGTGATTTGCCCAGCCTGTGCATGTAATCGCTGTGACCATTCACAGCTAGACACACTTGTATACAATGGGTGGCATGAAAGGAAGCCATCCACTATATACAACTGTCATGTGCCCTGCTGTGATTGGTCACAGCAGGTCACATGGTACTGGCAACAGTGCCGATACACAGATCTGTCATCGGCCGTGTCTGAGGTACACAGCCGGTGACAGATATTGCCACAGCGCGGCCCCGCAGGCACACGCAAAGCGCTATCTGGGAAGGACGTCATATGACGCCCTACCAGAGGGACAAGAGGCTCGCCTGGCCGTCATTTTACTATAGGCCGGGCGGGAAGTTGTTAATATAAAGTTTTGCTGTCAAGATTTTTCATTTGGTTTTATCCAAATGATGGTCCATATTAGTAATACAAGTAAAAACATGGACTATTTCTGTAAAAAAAAAACAAAAAAAAATACATGGACTCTGACTCTTGTTGCAATGGCACTACAATGTTTTGTCCGATTTTCATACATAAATCCCTCTAACATAGTCTTATTAATACAAGAAACATGAATAAATAGAAGCAGTGGGGAGCTGCAACACTTTGACGATTGCTTCTGGAGAAAGCACTGTCCAGAGAAAATGCTTTTACTATGGTGTATCTATTAGGTGTACATTATATTTGATGCAGTCATTCCTCTTTAATGCTCTTGGATCCTCTATACCACAATCACTGTAAAAAATGATGTACGCCGTAAATTGAAACTTGCCGAAATTTTTCTATATGAAAAAATAATGACTCATTCTGTATCATGTTCACAGTTTATGCGAATTCAATATTTAGTATTTAGAACAGCTTGTGTTGTCATTGTTCCACTGGTAAAACTTTTAAGGATCTAACCCATATATTTAATGTTCTTTCAAGTGATCCCTCCGTACATTTTACAAAGTAATTACCAATAGATGTATGTTTGCTCATAAAATTCCTGACCAGCTGTTACATCTTTTTTGTTTTTTTTTCTTGGCATAAAATAAAATATAGCAAAAATTAAAAATAAAACCCTTTCTTTTTTTATTGGTATATATTTTACCCTTGATTACATATATGCAAGTCCATTTTATAAAAGATGCCGCTTAATAGTAAGAGCTAAGTAAATGATAGCTCCTGCTTTGCTGTTTTATAAGAAGCTCTATCACCACAGCACTTGCCTGTAAAAGTTACTGTCTGTTCACTAACTTCTACATTGCAGCCTACATGGCAGATGCGCAATAGGCGATTTCATGAAATGGGTTACTGCATATAGTGTACAGTATCATGGCCCTGAATGAGGTAAGGTAAGACTGGGAGCAGACGTCACTCTTTCATACAGAGCACAGCTGTCTACAGTTGGTGTACGTGACAAAACTTTGCAATGCATTGTGGTTAAACATTGTCACCATTACCAACTGTGTTATCATAAAAGATTTGTAGAATCTTTTTTATCTTTTTTTTTTTTTAGATCTAAATCAGCTTCATGTGTATGATCTTATCATCATGTGTTAATTTATTAATAACCTTGCCTCTGCAGATTTTGCAATTGTATACAGTATTGAGAGAGATCTAGCATCAAATGGTAGAAATTTAAAAGGACACCTCCACTCGCTGTCTTCTTTTTAAGGGCTTTTCTGGCCCAGTTTTATTTAAAAGAAAAGTTCAAAGTTCCAGAGAAGAAAAAAACATCATAGGTTTCCCTCACAGGGGTTCTTCGGTATTCGTCTTCTATCCAAACAAATGATCCTTCAGAGAAAATCTATGTGCAGTCTCCTGGTTTACACGTACATCACCATAGCTCAGGCTTTACTCTTCAAACCCTGGTCTGTCTCCTACAGACCATGACTGTATACCATTTAGGACCTCTCTCAACAACTTGGTCCAAACTCTTGGCAGCCACTTGCTGCTCCAGCTCCAATCTGTGCTACTAGGCATTGGCAGGCATCACTGATGGGCACTAAAAGGCAGCACTCATATATGGCACTGATAGGCGGCACTGACTGGCACTGATAGGCGGCACTGTTGGGCACTGATTGGCAGCACTGTCGGGCACTGATAGGTGGCATTGATTGGCAGGACTGATAGGTATCACTGACTGGCACTGATAGGTGGCACTGACTGGCACTGATAGTTGGCACTGAAAGGCAGCTCAGATGGGCACTATGTGGCATTGATGTGCACTGGTAGGCACTGATATGTAGCACTGATGGGCACTGACAGGTGGCACTGATGGGGCTACACTGATCATCAGGGCACTGATCATCAGTGAAGATGTCTCTTCTGAAGAATGCCGATCACGCTGACAGCCTTGTGAGGAGAAAAATGCAGATAACCAGCATTTCTTTATTTACATGCGGTCAGCTGTGATTGGACACAACTGATCACATGACAGAGCCGATGTCATAAGCTCTTTCCGCTGATCGGTGATCCGCTGTGTCCCAGGGACACAGCGCAGCACCGATCGCCCATGCTGCGCGCCCCCGGAGGTGCACAAGCGCGATTAGAGTGGGACGTCATATGAGAAATGAGAAAACCACCACACGTCCGTCATTTCCTTACATGACGGGAGGGAGGCAGTTAAAGCCCTGTACACACCTGTACAATTAGTGTGCTGGGGGTTCAGAAAATATGGACCCAGGATTGGAGATTTTAGTGATTTTAGTGATACTAATGTTGTGGTGTGAACAGGGCACATAGAGAACAATTATTTTTTTGTGCTCTTGCAGAAAAACTGATGTCTCTGCACCATGGTGTGAACAAGGCCTTTGTCAAATCTACTAGTATATCTAATGCTACCCTCCCTTCCGACTGACAATGCATACAGAAAAAAAAAAATAGCTAAATGGTAAAAACACATTGGAGTATGAAGGTACCTCTCCACATTCAACCACCAGCAGGCCAAGCAAAACCAGCCTGGTTTTGCACCATGCGATTTCCATGCAAATGCACTGTTTTCAGATGCATGGGGGTGCCATTAAGAATGCATTTGTGCATCTGTGTGTTTTGGCTGTGGGTGGTTGCGGGTGCTGGAATAGTTGCGATTTACACACTGTCCAGCACCCACAACCACCTGCACAAGTGTGAACCTAGGCTTAGATAATGACAAAGTATCTCCCCTGCATACAGTAACATGAGTCAAGGTGAAACCTCATAAGGTGCAAAGTTATAATAATGTATGCAAGTGTCGATGCTTGGGCTGCCCATTGTTGATAAGAACAGTGCCCTGAAATTGATATGTCATTGAAGAGGCTTTTACTATATTATTGTTTTTTTTCTTCTTCTTTGTTTACCTGCTGTATATTAGGAACTGGCAGTGGAATAACACTGTTATTTAGTAATGGTTAAAATCAATGAAAATAATTTTACAAAAAAAAGAAGACAGAGTGGTCATCTTACTTGTGGTTTGTTTTGAACAAAAGGTATATGGAATTCTTTGCAAAAAAGACTGCTTCGAACTTAAGTGTTATCATGGTGAAGGATATTGAATACAGCTCTAATACATTTACAAGTAAACACAAGTTTTAGGTATTTTATTACAGAACAGAGAGAAGTATACAGTTGCAAGAAAAAGTATGTGAACCCCTTGGGATTACGTGGAGTTTTGCATGAATTGGGCATAAAATGTGCTCTGAACGTCATCTAAGTCACAACAATAGAAGAACACAGTCTGCTGAACATAATACTACACAAACATTAGATGTTGCCATGGTTTAATTGCACATAACATGTAAACATTCACAGTGCAGGGAGGAAAAAGTATGTGAAGCCCTAGCTTAATGACTTCTCCCAGAGCTAATTGGAGCCAGGAGTGAGCCAACCTTGATTCCAATCAGTGTGATGATATTGGATGTGTTGCTGACAGCTGTCCTGCCCTTAAAAAACACACACCTGTTTTGGGTTTACTGGTTTCAAGAAGCACTGTCTGATGTGAACCATGCCTCGCAGAAAAGAGCTCTCAGAAGACCTACGATCAAGAATTGTTGACTTGCATGAAGCTGGAAAGGGTTACAAAAGTATCTCCAAAAGCCTTGAGGTTCATGTGTCCACGGTAAGACAGACTGTCTACAAATGGAGAAAGTTTAGCACTGTTGCTACTCTCCCTAGGCGTGGTCGTCCTGTAAAAATGACTGCAAGAGCACAGCGCAGAATGCTGCATGAGGTAAAGAAGAATCCCAGAGTGTCAGCTAAAGACCTACAGAAATCTCTGGCACATGCTAACATTTTTGTTGACACATCTACAATAAGGAAAACATTAAACAAGAATGGAGTACATGGGAGGACACCACGGAGGAAGCCATTGCTGTCCAAAAAGAATATTGCAGCACGTTTGAAGTTTGCAAAAGAGCACCTGGATGTTCCACAGCACTACTGGCAAAATATACTGTGGACAGATGAAACCAAGATTGAGTTGTTTGGGAAGAACACACAACACTACGTGTGGAGAAAAAAAGGCACAGCACACCAACATCAAAACCTCATCCCCACTGTAAAACATGGCCGAGGGAGCATCATGGTTTGGGGCTGCTTTGCTGCCTCAGGGCCTGGACGGATTGTTGTCATTGATGGGAAAATGAATTCCAGAGTTTATCAAGACATTTTGCAGGAAAACGTACGACCATCTGTCCGCCAACTGAAGCTCCGCAGAGGATGGGTGATGCAACAGGACAATGACCCAAAGCATACAAGTAATTCAACAAAACAATGGCTGGAACAGCACAGAATACGCCTTCTGGAGTGGCCCAGTCAGAGTCCTGACCTCAACCTGATTGAAATGCTGTGGCATGACCTTAAGAGAGCGATTCACACCAGACATCCCAAGAATATTGCTACACTGAAACAGTTTTGTGAAGAGGAGTGGTCCAAAATGACTCCAGATTGTTGTGCAGGTCTGATCTGCAAGTACAGGAAATATCTGGTTCCGGTTATTGCTGCCAAAGGAGGGTCAACCAGTTATTAAGTCCAAAGGTTCACATACTTTTTCCTCCCTGCACTGTGAATGTTTACATGTTATGTGCAATTAAACCATGGCAACATCTAATGTTTGTGTAGTATTATGTTCAGCAGACTGTGTTCTTCTATTGTTGTGACTTAGATGACATTCAGAGCACATTTTATGCCCAATTCATGCAAAACTCCACGTAATCCCAAGGGGTTCACATACTTTTTCTTGCAACTGTATATCAAATCAACTTTAGATTCTACATGTAATATACATTAAAATATTCGTAGTGAAAATCCTCTAACAAGTACCTTGAGTGCTTGCATGTGCTTTTTATGAATCACAAGGATTCCTTTACACAGCATCTCTTGGGAAAATTGGAGTATGTGTTTTTTTTCTCCTGACTACTGTATACGGTATAACAGAAGGATTGGAAATTTATTGCAAAGGGATGTCCACCAGTTACTACATGGAATGGTTTCCCAGGTAGTACTCAGTGTAACTACATAGAGGCATTCCCTAAGTAGTCCTTCATGTTATTAGATGGAGGGGTCCCCCAGGTACACCTTAGTGTTACCACAGTATAGGTTTCCCAGGTAGTCCTCCATGTTACTACATACTGTAGATGGGTTTCCTTTATAGTTTATTGTTACTAGGTACAATTGTCCCCCAGGTAGTCTTCAGTTTTACTAGATAGAGAGGTTCCCTAGGTAGTCTTCAGTGTTAGTAGATGAAGGAATCCCCCGCTAGTCTTCAGTGTTTCTAGATAGATTCTCCAAGTAGTGCTCAGTGTTACTGGATGGAGGATTTCCCCCAGGTAGTCTTCAGCGTTACTACATACTGTAGAGGGGTTTCCTTGACAATTTGTTACTAGGTAGAGGGGTCCCTCAGGTAGTCTTCAGTTTTACTAGATAGAGGGGTTCCTTAGGTAGTCTTCAGTGTTAGTAGATGAAGGGGTCCCCCAGCTAGTCTTCAGTGTTTATAGATGGAGGGATTCTCCAAGTAGTGCTCAGTGTTAGTGGATGAAGGATTTCCCCCAGGTAGTGTTCAGTGTTACTACATACTGCAGAGGGATTTCCTTGACAGTTTATTTGTTACTAGGTACATGGGTTCCCCAGGTAGTCTTCAGTTTTACTACATAGAAGGGTTCCCCAGATAGTTCTCAGTGTTACTATATGGAAGTGTTCGCCAGATAGCATTTAGTGTTACTAGATGAAGGGCACTTCTCAGTATTACTACACGGAGGGGTCCCCCAGGTAGTGCTCAGTGTTACTAGATAGAGGGGTCCTCAGGCAGTCTTCAGTTTTACCACACAGAGGTGTTCCCTATATAGTCTTCAGTGTTACTACATACCATAGAGGTGTTTCAGTGTTAGTAGATGAAGGGGTCCCTCAGCTAGTCTTCAGTGTTTCTAGATGGAGGGGATCTTCAAGTAGTGCTCAGTGCTACTGGATGGAGGATTTCTACCAGGTAGTCCTCAGTAGTACTACATAGAAGGGTTCCCCAGATAGTCCTCAGTGTTACTACATAGAAGTGTTCGCCAGATAGCCTTTAGTGTTACTAGATGGAGGGGCTCCTCAGGGATTCCTCAGTATTACTACATGGAGGGGTTCCCCAGGTAGTGCTCAGGTGTTACTAGATAGAGGGGTTCTCAGGCAGTCTTCAGTTTTTCCACACAGAGGTGTTCCCTATATAGTCTTTAGTGTTACTACAAGGAGGGGTTCCGTAGATAGTCTTTAGTGGTACTAAATGGAGGGGACCCCCTGACAGTCTTAAATTTTACTAACACTACATAAAGGGTTTCCCCAGGTAGCTCTTAGTATTGCTACAAAGAGAAGTCCCCCAGGTATTTTTCAGTCTTACTACATGGAAGGGTTTCTGTGAAACAAGAAATTTTAATTCATCAGGAGTTTTTTTTAACGTGAAAAGCTTTATGATCAGCTTAGCAGCTTTACAGTGTAAATCAGACGGCCAATTTGTCATGTAAAAAAATGTCTTAAGAGAGGTTAATGTACATCAACAATGTAATAACTCCCTTTATCTCTGCAAGCAATCACTTGTAGATGTTTAATGCTCTCAGAGTGAACATTAGGGTATTTTAAAATGTATTTTTAACACTTAACAAAAGTGTCTTTATTGAAGTGCATGTATCTTAATAATTGTCAAAGACAGTGCGGTAAAGTGCTGTAAGCAATTTATAATGGTATGTATACATTAATAAAGCATGGCATCCAAGGTTCAGCTCATAATGCTGTATTATCATATTCATGGGAAACAAATTGTTACATACAAGCAATTGCTTTGTTTTGAAAAATATATAACGTCTGCTCTAATAAACTAAAACACTCTGTCACATTCCCATCTGACTACAACAGATCATGCTCTGAAATGACACGGATTGTAGAAGGAGGCAGGAGTTCAAAGTGAAGAATATAATC